TCCCTTCCCACTATTGGCCCATGTAGGCCTTCGGGGCTGGTGGCCCCAACTGGTGGACCCCCGGACCCCTCCGATGGTCCCGGTACACTACCGGTGATGCCCGGAACACTTCCGGTGGCCAAAACCATACTTCCTATATATCAATCTTTACCTCCGGACCATTCCGGAACTCCTCGTGATGTTTGAAATCTCATCCGGGACTCCTAACAACATTCGGTAACCGCTTACATACTTTCCCTATAACCCTAGCGTCATCGAACCTTAAGTGTGTAGACCCTACGGGTTCGGGAACCATGCACACATGACCGAGACACCTCTCCGGCCAATAACCAACAGTGGGATCTGGATACCCATGTTGGCTCCCACATGTTCCACGATGATCTCATCGGATGAACCACGATGTCGAGGATTCAATCAATCCCGTATTCAATTCCCTTTGTCTAGCGGTACGATACTTGCCCGAGATTCGATCATCGGTATCCCGATACCTTGTTCAATCTCATTACCGGCAAGTCTCTTTACTCGTTCCGTAACACATCATCTCGTGATCAACTCCTTGGTCACATTGTGCACATTATGATGATGTCCTACCGAGTGGGCCCAGAGATACCTCTCCGTTTACACGGAGTGACAAATCCCAGTCTCGATTCGTGCCAACCCAACAGACACTTTCAGAGATACCTGTAGTGTACCTTTATAGCCACCCAGTTACGTTGTGACGTTTGGCACACCCAAAGCACTCCTACGGTATCCGGGAGTTGCACAATCTCATGGTGTAAGGAAATGATACTTGACATTAGAAAAGCTTTAGAATACGAACTACACGATCTTTGTGCTAGGCTTAGGATTGGGTCTTGTCCATCACATCATTCTCCTAATGATGTGATCCCGTTATCAACGACATCCAATGTCCATGGTCAGGAAACCGTAACCATTTATTGATCAATGAGCTAGTCAACTAGAGGCTTACTAGGGACATGGTGTTGTCTATGTATCCACACATGTATCTGAGTTTCCTATCAATACAATTCTAGCATGGGTAATAAACGATTATCATGAACAATGAAATATAATGATAATAACTAATTTATTATTGCCTCTAGGGCATATTTCCAACATCAGGAGCCTGAGGAGCCACCTTGCCTGATGCACTAACTTGAATCTCTGTCTTCATGGAGGAGTCAGCCGTGGCGTATTTGTCTGCTATGATCAGCAGCTCGTCGAGGGTTTCCGGCTCATCGCAGAGAAGCTTGTGCTTGAGGACAGTGCCCTCTCGGCATCTTGCAGTGAAGTACTCAATAGCCTACACCTCATGCACGCCCTCGCAGGAGTTGCGGAGCTCGGCCCAGCGCATGAGGTAGTCGCGAGTTGACTCGTTGGGGCCCTGCATGCACAAGGAGAGCTGGTGAGGTTTGGGAGGCCGCTTGTATGTGCTGGTGAAGTTGCGAACGAAGGCGTCAATGAAGTCGACCCAACTGTTGATGCTGCGAGGTCTTAAGCTGTTCAGCCACGTCCGGGTCGTGCCCTGGAGCATGAGCGGAACGTACTTCACGGCAACACGCTTGTTGCCGTTTGCTATGCTGAAGGCCGTGGAGTAGTCGACTAGCCAGTCTTCCGGCTTTACGGAGCCGGTGTATTTGGGTGTGTCTTTGGGGAGCGTGAACCCTTTGGGGAAGGGCTCGTCTCGGATGCGGGGGCCGAAACACGGCGGACCCAACTCATCTTCTTCTTCAAGCGCCAGGGATCGGTGGAGATGGTCGATCCGGTGGCGGGCGTCATTCTCTCCGGCTCCCTCTCGGCGGCCAAGGCGGTCGCCGAGCATTGGGTGATCATCAGGCGGCGGGGAGACTCGCCTTTCCCTGCGAGGGGGAGGAGGCGGACAGTCATCCCGTCGTTCCACTGTTCTTGGGCGGCCGTCTCGGTCGCGCTCTATGGTGATGCGAGTCGGACTGCGGCTGGCAGCCGGCTCCTTGTCTTTTCTTCCACGGACGCCACCAGTCGGTGTCCGAGACGTCGCGCCTTGGTCTTGGCGGGGAGGCAGGTTGTCATTATGTTGGTGCGGCGCATCAGTGCGGCAGCCGGCCTCGTTCTGCTCCGTAGCCGCGTCAAGGAGTCGCTGGACGCGCTCCGTCATCAAGCGACGTTCTTCGCCCTCGAACTTGTCCAGCTCGTCTGCCGCCGCCTAGGCGGCTCGAATGTTCTCCACAGGCGTGGCGTAAACGGGGCGATTTGCGCCGAACAGGTCGGCGATGGCCAAGCCACGCTGCTGGACCGTGCCAAGGCGGCTAGGCCCAGCTGGAGCCGGCGTGCCGCCTACAGCGCGGTCCATCTCGCGCTGGTAGGCCTCTAATAGGCGTCTCATGCTGGCCAGCTTTTTGGCGCCTTCGACTAGCTGAGGGTGGCGCGCCTCCAGCGTCTCGGCGTCGGCGTCTTCGGGAATGGGCGCTGCCAGGTCTTGCAGCACCGCGTTGAGCGGGTCATAATCACCCCCGCCAGAGTGCTCGCTGTGATCAATGACAAGCACTTTCGTGACGGTGCTTCCGCCGCTCTCCGCGCAAGGGAGCTACTCATCGTAGACCACCATGTTGGTGGGGAACGTGTCAAGCGATGCGGTGTCGGAGTCGACCAACACCGGATCAGTGGAGCCTACGGACTCCAAGTCCCCAGCTGGCTCGCTGGTGACGTGGAGTTGATCAAGGAGGCCCGCGAGGAGGCTCTCGGGGCCGCCTGTGCCCGCGTCGGATGCGGGCTCGTCGGAGAGGCGGACCTCGCCGACAAGATCGGCGAGGCAACTGGCCGCGCAGGCGATTTTAGCGCCATGCAGCGCGTCGGCGCAGACTCCGTCTGGCGTGCCGGGCTGGCTGCGCTCCCAGGGAGGAAAAGGGTTCCCGTCCAGAACAGGTCTCCGGACGACGGTGCACTAGGCCCCACGGTGGACGCCAAATGTCGGGGGTTGGGTGCGACATATGCCAATGGATGGCTTATCATGGTGGGGCGAGTAGAACGTCACCGGTGCCTGGAAACGGGATGAGGCGTGGACACGAACGCCGGCGTACTTTACCCAGTTTCGGGGCTCTCCTAGGAGATAACACCCCTAGTCCCGCTCTGCGGGATTTCCGCACGATCACTAAGGCAAAGTGAATACAAGGGTGCTCCTCGAGCTGTATGCTGAAGGTAGGAGAAGGCAGGGTCAGCTCTTTCCCCCCCTCTGTGATCTGGTCTAGTTTTAATGGATCGGAACCCTTTGCATGGGTGCCCTGAGGGGTTTATATAGGCCTACCCCCCAGGGGTACAATGGTAAACTGTCTGGGCGCAGGGCCCAGCCGTCGGTCTCTTTGCCTGCCGGCCCTTCTGCCGACTGCTGGGGCCCGCCGATTGATGGGCCCCGTCGACTGGTCTGGTACGGAGCCGACAAGCCGTACCCGCCGCTTGCGGGTGTTGCCGACTGCTGATTACTGTAGCCGTGCCTCTAACGACGTAGGCTTGGTCATGGGGTCGTGGCTACAGCCCCGCCGTCTGGCGGGTGATCACTGTAGCCACTCCCTGTCTCGTCCGGTTGATAGCGTGGGGAACCCATGGGAGGGGCAGGCCGACTCCCGGGGGCCAGCTCCCTACGGGTCTGATTGGTGGCGCCCTCGTCGTCTTCTGGACTCTCGCTGACTGGTAGGGCCCGTCATCCGTGGACCGTACCGTCAGGCCGTCGTGGGCACAGACTCCGACCACTGTTGCTGATGTCAGGGATGGCATGGCAACAGTGCCGCGCCAGACGGAGATCTCCGTTGATACAACGCACTGTGGTCTAGCCATCTCCTGGAAAAGGGAAGGGAGTGGGCTTTACTATTGCCACTCCCTGTCCCATCCCCCTGATGAGGGCATGAGCTTTGTTGGTGCCGTGGGCCGACTCCCCGTGGCCTGCTTTTTCGGAAGCCGCCAGGCGGAGTCGGCCGGTCTTGACCTCGCCTCTAGGACTCGGACGCATGCATGCAGCCGACTTTCCTTCTGCCGTCCTCCAGAAGGCGGTTCTTCATCTGTCGTCTCGCGGGGCGCAGTCAGCCCCGATGTCTTGAAAGGTTTTGGGCCTCGGGTTAGCCTACCCGTGGCCCATTACTCCGACAACCACCATGCCAGGCAAATTAAGGCTGACTTGCCGGTCAGCTCGCTCGAGGTCTCCCACATTCATGTTGAAAAAATGTTTGAAATGTATGCGGACAACATTGGATGGCGACCTCCCACGTCCATGTCGGTGAATTAATCCCCTATGTCTACGAACGGATGCAGAAGAAAATTTGCGAGTCACCGTTGGAAATGTCCTTAGCTCGTACCAGTATTTACACTGCAGCGAATTACACATAATTTAGATGGTTATAAGTTCTTAATGGTAAAATCAGCACAACGGGGTTCACTAAGAGATGACATCACTGTCAACTACGGGTGGTGACATTAATGTCGAGATTTGCTGATTCAATCTCTCGGAGATCTTTTATATTAAAAGAATTGTCAAATGTTCGTGTGCATTCTTATTGTACGTGTGTGTTTGTAAGCGCTTGCGCGTACCACGTTTCTCTGAAAAAAAAGAAACATCATGCCCCTTCTGTCGGACAAATTGCGGGTCCCACTTGTCAGCCAAACAGAGTTCAGTGGAAGCCAACATACAAGAGTCCTGGGAAAAAAACATACAAGAGTCCACGCGTGGTGGCTGCGGTTTGCAGTTGGAGGCCGAGCCGGAGACGAGACCTCGTCCAGTCCGCCTTCCCATCGCAGTCCGCACGCAACAAGAAACAAACCAGTTCCAAATCTACTCCGCTTCCAATCTGGGCCGTCCAGTCCCCGTCCGCAACTTCTTAAACCCCGGCGAGCCCAACCGAACCCCACCCCGGACCCAAACAAACAACCCTAGCCTTCCGCGTCGCCCACGCGCGCCTCGCCTCCGCCGCTTTTCTCTCCGCCCCGAAAACAGACTCGCCGCCCCCCCATCCCATTGCCGTCCTCCTCGCCGGCCGATGGCGCTGGAGACGCGGAAGCTCTACGTCGGCGGCCTCCTGCCGTCGGCGCAGCAGGAAGAACTCAAGGAGCACTTCAGCCGCTACGGCGAGGTGCTGTGCGTCCGGGTCGTGCGAGACTGGGAGTCGGACCAGTGCCGCGGCTTCGCGTTCGTCGAGTTTGCCGACGACGAGGGCCCGCGCGCCGCGCTCCACGAGAAGGAGAAGGCAAACCACGTTTTCGGCGGCCGCACGGTGAGACTCCTCCTCTTTTTTTTTCTTTTTTTTTTGAAACGCTCGACTGAATCTGTGGTGGCGACTGCTGTAGGCGTTGTTAGGGCATTCAAAACTTGTTTATTAATCATAACTTATTTGGGTATCGTCGATTCGTTTAGTAAATTAGATTTGTTCTGGTTAATGCTGTTTACCGTCAGCTTTAATTCTTAAAGAAAGGCATTGCTTTCTTTCTTAATTTCCTGTCTAGAGTGTTATCCTGTAGATAATCTGTAACAAGAGTTGCTTGAATTCCTTTTGGTTATGAACACTAGAGTAAGATACAACGCCACTTCAAATGTCTTCCGCATAATTATCGCTAGATACAACGCCACTTCAAATGTCTTCCGCATAATTTTTTGTTTGTTAGTCATATATCTAAACTATGTTTTTTTTTTTGCCTATTTTGCCAGGTGGATGTTAAACGAGCTCGAATCAGGCCAATGCGGTATGAAAATGATTCATCATTCTACCAACACACTTCAAATCATAGCCCAATTCAGAGCCCAGTTCACAACCAGTGGTACACTCAGTCTTCTAGTAATAACTCATATGTTGGTAATGGTCATAGAAGCTATGATGCAAAAAAGGTTTTTGTTGGTGGTCTACGAGGTAACATCACCAAAGAGCACCTCCAGAGCTATTTTGAGAAGTTCGGTACTATAACAGACGTTGTTGTGATACGTGAGGGGGCTACTCAGAAATCACGAGGCTTTGGTTTCATTACATTTGATTCAGAGGAGGCAATGGCAAAGGTCTTGGAGAGTAAATTCCATGATTTGAATGGAACAAAAGTTGAAACTAAGATTGCCATTCCTAAGGATCATAGCTACTATCAGGACGGGCGACAGTATGGTCCAATGATATGGGATGGCAACAATTCTCCCATTGGCTATGCTGGAGTATACCCACCTCAAATGCAATATGTTATTAATAATCACTATATGATACCTATACCACAATATATGTATTCACCAGCTGGAGAGTATGGCTACATGATGAATGGAGGAGGCCCCTTGACAAGGCAGGGTCCACTCTATACAGGCTATCCAACACCAGTTGGATATGGATATAATTATATGAATACAAATCGTTTTGGTGCTCAGATTGTGGATTCTAGAAGTGGTAACAAAATGATTGAAGACATAACAGAGCAACAACAAGTGGAGCAACAACAAGTGGATCTACCTGGTACCAATAATATTTCCAAGCAAGAAACTTCAGGCATTGAGTACGAATCTGAATCTTTAACATATTGTTATTTGCATTATCTAATACCTTTTTCTCGTCATTATAGCCAAATATTTTTTTGGTAGTAAATTAAGGTACACACAAAATGATTTTAGATTTTGAATATTCCATAACTTTGTAATTGCTCCTCGTTCAAATTATTACCTTAGTGGTAAGTGCAAAAGGAGGAATCATTAAACATTGATGAGACACTAGACTTATATCAAATTAATATTTCCTGTATTTATTCTAATCTATGAAGGGGAGCCTTGGCGCAGTGGTAAAGCTGCTGCCTTGTGACCATGAGGTCACGGGTTCAAGTCCTGGAAACAGCCTCTTACAGAAATGTAGGGAAAGGCTGCGTACAATAGACCCAAAGTGGTCGGACCCTTCCCCAGACCCTGCGCAAGCGGGAGCTACATGCACTGGGGCTGCCCTTTTTTTTTTATTCTAATCTATACATGGTATATCTGAATGGAATGAACCCATAGCTGATGATAGAACTAGAATAGATATCTTTTGTTTTC